TCCCCTAAACTCCACCAGAAATGAGCCTTTGCCAGCACAGCCACTTGGAGCAGGAGGAAGACTCATTTCTGGCGGACTTTGGGGGAGAAAGACTTTTGCTGCTTTCCTTGTGTGCAGCCAAAAGCAGAAGAAAAAAGCGGAAAGAAGCAGCCCCGTGGCCAGGTGAGGCATGTTGGGTGAGTGGGGCAAGTTCCCATCTGCCCTTTCCCCCTCCCCTCACTCCGTGTTGTTTGCAATGCGACACAAGCCTTGTGTTCCCATGGGCCATGTGGGTGGCGCAGCCTTGTGTTCCTGTGCAGCCTGGATTGCTTTGGGGGGTGCTTTGGGGGGGGGATGACATTTCTCTGAGGACCACCAAAATTTTCTCACAGACCACCAGTGGTCCCCGGCCCACTTGTTGGCGACCACTGACCTAGACAACGTTACTGTATTGAATTCACAAAAGAGAGTTGTTAAAGCTTTTATGAAATTAGTGAGAAGAGACAAAGAAAAAAATTAAAAAAAATCAAGTTGTAGGTGAATTTTTAAGAATTTGCTTATAGATAAGAGATGGGATATAAAAAGAAATTATTATATTTTCAGAGATGATAAGTTACTAAAATTGTTTATACTAATAGGGATGAAGGGACCAGTAATTTCTAGTATATTTCTTTTCTTTTTCTTTGTTATCTTATTTTTCTTTTCTATTTTTCCTTCTATTTTCCTTTTCTTTTTAGTTTGTATTAATTTTTATCTTTTTTTAAATGGTATTTTCTTTAAAAAAAAATGAAACCACCATCACCACAGGAATCATCAGCCACTGGCAGTTTTAAGGTCAATATGAAGACTGTAATCAAAGACAGGCAGTCCTCCAGATATGACAGGTCACCTAACAACCGTTCAAAGTTATGACAGATGTTCCCAAAAGCTACATACAAACTTCTCCTGGCTCTTGCTGGACTTTGAGAAGCCAGCTGCTTGGGGATAGTTTCAAAACCAGCTTCCTAAAACCTGCCTTTGCTTAATCCCTGCCTCTCCCAGAATGTCACAATTCTTCAATAAAGAAAACAAGCAAGCAAACAAACAAAAAAGCTGGCTGGATGGGACAGACTTGTTGATCTTTGTTTCCCGCAGTCGCCAATTATATGCTGAAATGAAACTCTTTGCCTTTACCCTCCAATCACAATCCCTTTGAAAAATCTCATTTGCTAAATTTAAATCAAAAGATTGGGTGACAAAAGTTACTTACCTAGGCCCCAAGCTGAAGAGTAGAGGAAAGCAAGCAAGCAACGAAAGAAAATCATTCTGCAGCAGGGGTGGGCAAACTATGGCCCGCGGGCCACATCCGGCCCGTTGGTCATTTTAATATGGCCTGCCTCTGAAAAAAAAAAAATCCCCTCTGAAAAAAAAATCGGGGCCGGCCAAAAGAGACCCCGTGCCGCGCGCCAAAAAATTGCACACACAACACGGAGCTGGGCAGCCGCTTCACTGGTGGCGGGGCCGAGGTCGCTGCCCGGGGAACGCTCACTGCTTTTCCTCGTCAGGGCTGGGCAGTGGTGTGTTGCCCTGCGCTGCGTGGCCCCCGCCTGGCAGCGCGCTTCTCGGCTGGTCTCCTCCTCCTCAGCCATACAGAACAAACAGGCAGAGAGCCAGCCTGAGCCTCTGGTGCCGCTGCAAAGCGCCGCCGCGGCTCTTCCTTTTTGCCTTTCCCTTCCCGAGGCAACGCGGGACTGGAGCCGCACGGAGCTGCGCTGGCGGTAGCAATTCCTGACTCAGGGGGCCTCAGAGGGGAGGGGAAGGAGAAGAGGGGGGGGGAAGGGGGGCGATTCCCAAAAAATCTTGTGCTGACCCGGCCGGTCTGTCAAATTTTAAAAGTCTGTGAGCCAAAAAGTTTGCCCACCCCTGTTCTGCAGTGTGTGTGTGTGTTTTGAAGAAAAAGTTTAGCCCCAAAGCACAAATGTGCAACAAATGGTCCCGCAAAGCAGCTCCTAAATGTAATCAGACCATCAGCAAAAAGCCTTTCAAAGGTTTCCAAGCTCTTTGTGGCAGGGGTGGGATTCAAATTTTTTAACAACCGGTTCTGTGGGCATGGCTTAGGTTGTGGGCATGGCTTGGTCATGTGACTGGGTGAACATGGCTTTGGTGGTCATGTTATTGGCTGGGTGTGGCCAACTCAACATCACTTACATCGAGGCACGCATCTCCTCGCCTGGCCTCTCATGACTGTGGGGATGCTGCAACAGTCGTAAGTGTGAAAAATGGTCATAAGTCACTTTTTTCAGTGCCATTGTAACTTTGAATGGTCACTCCACACAAGCAAAGTACCAGCAAAGGAGGGGGAAAAAACTCCAGAGATGTTCCTGAGACAGGAAGTCTAATCCTGCCAAGAATGTAATAAGGGTTAATGGAGAGGCAGTTTCTGTAAGCAACACCAGAATGTTTCCTTCCTGCCTTCCTTACAGGATTAGGACAGTAATTTCTTCTAACAACTGGTTCTCCCAACTGCTTAGATTGTTAACAACTGGTTCTAGCGAATAGGTGCTAACTGGTAGAAACCCACCCCTGCTTTGTGGTCTGGTTCCCTTTAGGACTCAGCTTCTCTTGCATGACATGACCATTTGATGCATGAAGAAGTTGATGCATGAATAAAACTGGGGGGGGGGGGGAACCACCAGAATTAAAAACCTCAAAAATAGTTCTAAGAAACAAGACAAACCACAAATAATTATTAGAGCAATTAAATAATTAAAAAGGCCTAGGGCAAAATAGAAAGATTTTAATTATGGAAAAAAATTAATGGAGGCATGACTAACCTCCAAGGAGCTTGTATTACTGACACCAGTGCCTAGAACTTCTACTTTGCACTGTTTCAAACCGGGTATCAGCAGTGCCATTAGCTATTATATTCTCTCTAGATTATAAAAAACAAAGTAGCCGCAAAATAAAGCAGGGTATTCCGTGTACAACTTGGTCTCTGACTTTTAGACCCATTTAAGGCAACTCAAAATACCCTGCTTAGTAGCGAACAGGTAACTAGGGCAGATTTTATACGGCAGGCACTACGTATAAGGAATCTACTGAAGCTACTGTATAGTATTCTAAGTAGAGCCCCACCTACTATGTTTCCCTGAACAGGCACCAGGTCTTATTTTCAGGGGAAGTCTTACCTGCTTACCTTAGGACCATCACAGCCAGGCCTCCCATGCCCTGACATCTGTTGCGCCACTGCCGAACTTCTTTTGTAGCTACTTGCGGCCGCTTGAGGCAGGATGCCACATGCTGTGTTGCACCAGTGCTGCTGCTCATGGCAGGAGGCCACATGGCATGCCAGGCCAATGCTGCTGCATGCAGCAGGAGGCTGCATGGGTGTGTTGTGGTGTTGTGTGTGAGAGCACCGGCATGGCACAGCATGTGGCGTCCTGTCACGAGTGGTGGCACCGGTGCGATGCGGCGTCCAGCCATGAGCAGCTGCACCAGTGCCATGCACATGGCATCCTGCAGCAAGCAGCGGCACCAGCATGATGCACCACATGACATCTGGCTGTGACTAGCTGCAAGCATCCGCAGAAGTCAAGCAGTGGCATGACAGGTCTTGGGGCGTGGGATGCCTGGCTCCAACGGTCCTAAGGGAAGTGGGAGCAGGGCACGTGGGGCAGCTCCACCCTCCCCACCCCCACCATATCTTGATTTTTACCCATCACCCCACCTCATACAACCAGACAGTGGGATGGAGTGAGCGGGGTCTTAACTAGGACTTATTTTTAGGGTAGGCTTATTTTCAGGAAAGCATTACAACATAATCCAATCCTGAAGTCATCAGTGTATATTCTTCTCTGACAAAGTTACTCATATCCTGGAAAAAACTTCAGTTGTAGAAACTAAAATTGTAAACAGTGGAAACCCCCCCCCCGCCCCAGCCTTTAATCAGACCTTTTCTTTTCACATCTCAGACAAAAACTTGATCAAGAATCTGACCTCTCTGGCCAATTATGCATTGAGATGACTCCATCACAAAACTACAAGTTGGACTATTCAATGCAACCTCAAGGCTATTCCCACATACCACTACAGTTGTCTTCACAACCATACAAAAGTGACTAAATTTCACAATATGAAAATAAGCTTATTTGGGAGGAAGGCCAGGAAGGAAAGGTACAGGTAGTCCTCTGCTTACAAACATTTGTTCAGTGAATGTTCAAAGTAAATACAGCACTGACAAAATGGACATACAACCAGTTCCCAAAGTTCTGGCCATTGCACCTTGTAGTCACAACCCAGAGATACTCAGTTCACGACTTCTGCATGCAGAATACTGTGGACATGTGATTGCTATTTGTTACCTTCCCTGCTGGCTTCCCATAAAGAAAATCAAATTCCACTGCAGGAAAGATCTTAAATTGCTCCAGTGTCACTCGCACCTGAAGTACATTACTGCCCACATGAAGGTGGCCTTCCCCGACTCATGCCTGACCTTCACCTGGTCTCCCACATTCTTTCAGTCTGCTTACTTGGGACTCCCATCTCTTCCCGCTTAACAACCTGCATATCCTGTGGTTGTGACAGCTACTGGGTCAGCTGGGACTGCCTTCACTGAGATGGTCACATGACATTGTGCTTTATGACTGCATTGATAGGTTGTTAAAATTCGTAAGTCACACACCCTCAATTCTAAAATCGAGTTGAACAGTAGTCAGAACAATCTTCTCACTAGCCAGATATTATCCACTTCACTGATGCTAAAATGTAGTTCCTATCATGTAGAAAAAGAGCCCAAATGAAAACTACCAAGCTACCAAAAATTGCAAGTCTGAGCAGAGGAATGATGGAATGATGCCTTGCCAAAATTTTCCAGTTCTTCATCCGCGGGAAAACATGATGGAATCCTACATTTTGGAAGGTTCAAGATTCTACAGTCAGTAGATGAAAAAGTTAGTGATGCTCTATTGGTACTAAGAATTTTTGGGTATAACTCCCACTTGGGAATCACTTGGCTGGACAAAAAGCAGTAATTTTATCAGAAATACATATATAATACCAAATTTATTTTAATTTAGATTTTATATCGTTTGAGAACTTTGGTGACCTACAGTTTCCATGGTAAAAGTGTTGAATATTTAGTAAATATGCCCATATAGCAGTACTGTAGTGAATCTTTATGAAATATTATAGCTGTTTTCAAGACCTTGTATTTTTCAAAACAAATATACTGCAATAGGCACAGGAAGCAAGCTGTGAAAAATTGAAGGAAAAATGGCTGGACATAGATTAGGAAGACTCAGGTTCAAAATTCCACTCCATGTGGAATTCACAGGGTCCAATCATCTCTTTCAGCACAATCTACCTCACAGTATTGTTCATGGGATATTATGAAATGTGATCCTTGCACTTTGGCTTGAGTTCCCAGAGAAAAGGCAGGGTATAAAGGCAATAAATAAAAGCATAAACGGGATAGCAAACAGATCTGACAAAATGACATGAGGATAACGTACATGACTTTACAACTTGGACATGTTCTCAAAAGTTCCTTTCACAAGATTTCAAAGTATAATTTGCAGGGTCATATTGAGCAAAATAGTCCATATATTTAACATAAAGGTATATATGATTCTAACATTAGAAATGTAAACTAATGATATCTTGCAACTTACTTCATCCAGTGACAAATTTCAACCATTCCTATGATTTCAGAAAGTACACAAAATACAGACATGAGAAGGAAACAAAACCTCTAAGATGACCATATAGTACTTTACACAGAAATCTGCAACACCATAAGCATCTACAAGATACACTTCCTTAACAGAAATGCAATTTGTGTTACATAGATACTACAGCACTCACTTATCTACAACCAGGGCAAATTTCCAAGGCACAAATTCAAGTGCTGTCATGGCTGCATTTGAACACAATTTAATATGATGAGAACAATGTTCTGGATTTGCATATTTCCTTTTCCTCCCTCACAACCTGGCCAAAATTTTGGAAGTTTCTGCTTTTTTATTAACCAGAGGCTAATGTTTGTTGAATCTTAAATTCTGATTAATTTTAACTCTGGCATATTTAATAAGGCAGCTTCATTACCCATGGTTTGAAGCTTGCTTATTTTAAAACATGTATAAAATTAATTATAATTTATTGATTTTGGAATGCAAGGCAGACTGCACTTAAAGGAATCCAGAAGCAAGAAACTTGTAACTGCACCTTCTGTTATATGGAAGGAGGAAGACTTTAAGCCTGAGGTTCAGTAAAAACTTTTTTAATGTGATGTTGAAACTGGCCACTGTTATCTTATAGATCACACTAAGAATTTATTTAAAATGCATACTTTTTAACAAAAGGCTTTGGGAGCAAAACATGCACTGTGCTTAATTTTTAATATAATTTATCTATTAAACTAACAATATAGATTTTCTTTCTAATTTTTAAAGGTAAATCTTGAAGAACAGCATCGCTCCTGAGCATCCTTAGGAAGTTCAGGCTGTTTAGCGCTTTGTTCCTAGAACTTCTTTCAAAATGACAGTCAGTTCAGAAAATAACTACTGTCAACAAATGACTGGCTAAAAACGTGGATTTCAGATTTCTCCATGGAATTTTAATAGAATATGTCCCTTGCTTGGTTTAAATTCCTATAGAGAATAAAGCAAGATGAAACCAGACAGGAAGAGAAATTGTCTCGCACACTATTTACATTTCAAGTCTATTCTCTGGTAGGTCGCACAGTGAATGTCTGCGAGTTATTCAGAACAATGCTTGATGTTTTTAAGGCAATACCATATTGCAGAAATAAAAAAAAGAAAACACCAGAACTTGAATTCTGCACGCAATTAAGTATTGACCTTCAGTGCCTTTTCCCTTCTGAAACCCTAATTGATAGGAACATTTTAATCATATGCATTACCAAGTTCCAGATGATAATTCAAGAGAGAACATTTGTTTTGCAAGCAAATTCACCGATTATAAAAATCAACACTTGACAACCAAATAGAATTCAGTTTAAAAAAATACTCTAGAAGTATTTTTTAGGCCAACAGGAGCTTATAAATACTTCTGACTTGGGGTAGCATATATTATTTCTTACTGAGAATTTTTCCAAAGGGGCTGTCAAATGTTAAAATATATATACCACATTAGTCCATTCTTTTTTTGCCAACAAGTCCTATTATCGTGCTCCCGATAAATGACATTTAATAGATATTTTTGGAAAGTGATATACAAGCCTGAAGAGCTTTGCAAGAGGCTCTTTAGTTCATATGCAAAAGAAGGAATGAGCAATCTATTTATTGGCAACACAGAGGCAATAATGCCAAATAAAGAAACAATAGGATTAGAGAGTTGTTTGGATTAGCCTTCCTGTCCAAAATCTTCTGTGAACTTCTTTAGTTTTTCCAGGTCCTGCTCATTTACTGTTGGTTTTGTATTGGCTAGTGACCTCAGCATATCAGCCTGCACATAAATGAAAGGAGAGTTAAGAGCTGCACATTTCTCCATCATATATATTCATATAGATAGCACACACATTACAATTATGTGAGTTATGGCATGGGAGAAGAAACCAAAAGGAGCTATAAAAAGAAAGAAACCATAACAGCCTCTAACATTTCTAACAATTGTTCAAATAATAATCACAATTCAGAAGTCTAACAATATTATTGGAAATCTAACAATATAAGCCACCTCTCCTCTGTATTACTGGTACAGGTAGTCCTCGACTCACAACTGTTCATTTAGTGACCCGTTTGAAGTTACAAGGGCACTGAAAAAGTGACTTGTGACAGTTTTTGACACTTATGACCATTGCTGCATCCCCATGGTCATGCGATCAAAATTCAGATGCTGGGCCACTGGTTCATGTTTATGACGCTTGCAGGGTCCCGGAGTCATGTGATCACCTTTTGCAACCTTGTGGCAAGCAAAATCAATGTGGAAGCCAGATTTACTTAACTACTGTAGTAAGAAAGGTCACAAAATGGAGCAAAACTCATTTAACAACTATCTCGCTTAGCAACAGAAATTTTGGACTCAACTTCTTTTTTTTTAAATCAAGAACTAACCGTGTTACTAACATAACAACTGCAGCGATTCATTTAACAACTGTGGCAAGAAAGATCGTAAAATTGGACAACATTCACTTAAGAAATGTCTCGCTTAGCAACAGAAATTTTGGCCTCAATTTGGCTGTAAGTCGAGCACTATCTGTACTTAGAAGGAATGCATTGCTGTAAAATGATTTTATTGCTTACAATTAACAGCAGAGCCCTCTGCTTCTACTCAGAAGCTAAGTTCACTTAAGTGGTTTACTTTCAAGCACTTACTTATATAGTACAGCCTAAACATTTCCAACCAGCAATCACATTTCACAATGCTTTACTACTTCGTGTGTTACAGCCCAAAGGGTTGTAGATTTCATTCTTCCTTAACTCAGAATTTTAAAACACTCTAGAGAAAGATTTCAAAATGCAGATTTATAGGAAAACAAAATAACCATGGGATATTTCACTATACATAGTTATTTCAATTGCAAACAAAGTTAAATGAAGAAGTAACTGCAGAAATGTAATAGGGAAACTAGACAAACACTCCCTCGATGGCATAAGTTAGCCTCTTCAGAGATGAAATCAAAATACATTTGTAGCTGTTTAAAACAGCTTCTCTTTTTCCGAACAAGTTTTGAAAAGAGAGGTGGCGGCTTTGAGTTGGTCAGATTATCGTTAGGTGTCATGCAACCTCAATGGGAGAGGATATTTTTCCTGGCAGAGCAGGACTGCTGATTGAATGGGAAAGAAAGGTATATGACAGGTAACTTAAGGAACCCAAAGGCGATTCAAATCTGCAGCCTCTGCATAGAAAATACAATGCTGGTGGAACTAATGGCACACCTGGGAGATTAAATTATGTGCCTATGAATGCTTCGAACTAGTACATTTAATTACATTCTTGCACAGAAAGATCTTTCTATGCTTTGTAATTAAAAAACCCCCCATAAAATAGGCCATCATCTTGTTATGGTTCAGCAATACTTTCTCAGGACTTTGAAACAGAAGGAAGTTAAGAATTCCGAAAGTCTCTATTGAGCCCTAAAGAAAGAATAGGCGAACATGTTTGCACTGCTAATTTTGTATTCTATATTTGAAGCTCTTGCTTCAAATTAAATGTTGCATATGTTTCTTTACTTCAACTCTCTATATCATTTTTCTTTGGGGAAGGGTGTGCATTTGAATCAGCCTTGATCCTTGGCAATCACCGGAGGTTTTCTTGGCAGCATTTTCAAAAGACGTTTGCTAGTGTCTTCCTCCTAGAAAGGGAGCGACTGTTCTAAGATATCCCACTGCTTTTGTGCCCTAAGCAAGAACTGGTGATCTCCCGGTTTCTAGCTTGGTGCCACTGTCTCGATAGATGCTTAGTGTTAGTATCTACAATGAGAACCATTATATATCATTTCCATTAGGTTCCAGAAACTTTATTTGAAAGCTTAGTTATACTTTGGTCTACTGAAATCAAGAGGACGTTAGATTGATCTGTCTTAAAAGGGATAACTTTGATTTAAGTTGAAACATTATATTAAGCCGTAATTGTTTAAGCATTGAGATACACACCACACATACATGAACACATGCAATAATTAGATGGATTCATGCAATATACGAAGCAACTGGAAAACAAATTGGATTTTTGAACTAACACGGTATGTGAACCCAGCTTCGGTCTAGATTTAGTTCAATGTTTTGTAACATAAAATGATTTAAGCTGTTTTTTTTTAACATTGGAACTTTTAAGTTTTTATAAAGAAGGTTTTTTTTTTAGCATTTCTCAAATCAGGCCACCATTTTAAAAAATCTTTTAAGTAGCATCTAACATTTGTAGTGTTTGTCTGCTTGTGCAACAATTGTTATCTGGATATATAAACATGTAAGAGATGAACCCTAGATTTGGATTAAGTTATTAAGAAGGCTGAGCTGTTTTGTGAGAAGCCAGCTCCTACTCATCCATCACTTTTGCAAAAGGCAAGATCTCCTTTAGTCAACAATGGAGACTTTGTGGGCAGCTGTTTAGCAACATTAGATCAGAAACTTGCCTTCTGCCTTCTTTTACGATATTTTTCAACTTCCCAGTGCAGCCTACAGTCCTGGTAGTTGCAAGTCTTCTTCCATTCAAGTATTAAACCACTTGGAGCCCTGATAAAATCAGCCAAGTGTTGTCACCTACCGAAGCATGTTTTTGTAACTAAAAACATTTCCCCGCTTTTGAGAGAGGCATACTATTATTTGCTTAGAAGTTGACAAAGTATGACTGCAAGCCAAGAGCTCATTTTATAAATAACTTCAATTTGTGTTGAAGGAAACTCTTCCTGTGTGTTAAGGTGAATGAACTGATAGCAATGCTTTTTAACTCATGACAGATACAGTCATGGGAAAAAGTATGGTTAGTCACATGGTATTGGTTGCATAGTGACTGTTCAAAGTTACAATGGTCCCATCTGGGGATGCTTTTGATCTTTATTTGAAGTTAGAATGGTCATGTCCCCATAGTCACGTGACTGACCTTTGGCCTCTTGGAAACAGGACCGCATTTATGGCTGTTTGCATGATCCCATGACTGTGTTTTATGATGGTTTTGCCGAAAATGGGTAATTCCGGTTTTCAGTAAAATTGCACCCATAGTAAATTACTGGTTTACTTAATGATTACATGTGCCTAACCACTAAAAATAGCTGTAAAATCAAATTGGACGCATGAGCTACCTTGTTTGCCACCATCATGAATTATGACTGTGATGGGCAGGCTCCATTACAGTCATAAATTGAGGTCTACCTGTATAGCAATCCACTGAAATGCTTGGCTTTGCGTTTATGTTCATTAATCTATACAATGGATTACAAAATGTAAATGGTACATAGTACTAGCACAAGCATGTAGACTTATACTACCACTTCACAGTGCTTTACAGCCCTCTCTAAGCAGTTTACAGAATCAGCATATTGCCCCCAACAATCTGGGTCGTCATTTTACCCACCTCAGAAGGATGAAAGACTGAGTCACCCTTGAGCCCGTGACAATCTAACTGCTGGCAATTGGCAGATTTTGCCTGCAATATTGCATTTTAATCACTGTGCCACCACAGCTCTTACATATTTATTATATCCCCTTTATCTATTAGTATTCTTGAAATGATCAAGTATTTGTATATTTAAATATATCAAAAAAGTAAAAAAAAATCAGTGGGGTATACTTATTTCTACATATGACTGTAATTCTTATTCATTCTTATCTATTTGAGGAAATTAAATCACTGAGTTCATATAACACATTAAGCCATAATTTAATTGGGATCCTGAAACTTGTTATGCCATAAGCCAAAGGTAGAAAAACTTTCAGTGGCTGAGGGCTACATTTCACAAATATTTTCAACAGAAACTAAAGATTATCTTGCAGACTAGATAATTTGCAAAGAGATTATTACAAACTCACATCACTGTCTTGCGATGCAAGTAACCTAATTCTAAATAATGATGCAGTAGGTTTTGGGGTAAGAATCTTGAATTATTGATCTTCTTTGCCTACATTATTTTGTTCCATATTTCATATTCAATCTTTAGAAGCTTTATGATAGCAAAAATTCTCGAATCATTTAAACTTTAAGGTTAACTCAGAATTCTAGAAGAGAATTCTGAGAATTAGAATTAAGAGAATTCTTATTTACCGGTATTAAGCATAATAATGCTTAATAATATAATATTAAGCATAAATTACACTATACAATTAAAAAAACTTATCTAGTACCATACCTGATTTGTATAAAAAAGATTTCAGTTCAATTATTAGCATTTTCAAAGACTTTAAAAGGCTTCATTTTGAATCTTGAATTACTGATAAGTCAGAGCAACTAAATCTAAGTTAAATGATCAGGTATCTACTTTGACACAATACATTCCTTTGTATTTATACATAAACATAAAGAACAATTTTGGTATAGTGGTAAAGTTGTTGGCGTAGAAACAGGACACTGAAGTCTAGGCCTACTTTAAGCATGAAAACTATCTGAGTGACTCTGAGTCATTCTCTATCTCAATCGAAACCACCTCAGAGTTTGTTCTGGTTAGGGAAACAGGAGGCGGGATTAAGTATGTTTACAGCTATGAGTTATAATTAACATAATAGTAATAATAACCCCAGCTTTAAAATTTTGTCTATAGGGTGGTTGTGAGCTAGTACAGTAGCCATTAGGATTTATAGATTGATATAGAATGACAAATGTACACAAAAGTTTTTGATTATCAGATGTAAAAAATGACGTGCACTGAAACAAGAGGGAAGTGCTCAGCCCAGGCAAGGTGTATCAGGATAAGTATAGGATTCCATTTGTTCTGAGCCAGGCATCCTTTGCCATCTGTCATGCCACTTTGGCAATCCGTAAGGATTTAGAAGTTACCTGAGGTCTCTGAAAATACTCCCCAATTGAATCTGTGATCTTTATTCTAAGATGCTACAGCAGGCCAAAGTCAAAATATTCATAATAAATAAACACTGACCATACAAACAACAGGTTCCAGAAGTTTATCTCCTGGTACGTCCATCCAGGTCATTTCAATGGCATTGGGTTCTCCTGGAGAACACGGGGTGAAGAGATCTACTAGAACATTTGGATCTGATAGTGATGGTCCTTTCACCTTTGAAACAAACAAGAATTTTGGGGTCAAGACTGAAAATATTTGGAGGCATATACGATTAAGAAGAATGATGGTCAGTTCATCAATACAGATGTTTCATTTTTGTCTAATCAGCTTTTAACATTGCTCCTAAAAAGGTTGAACATATAGAAATCTCTTTGACAAAAATAGTAACAAATATAAAAATTACTTCCCATCTTTTGTCTAACCAGCTTTAACGTTATTGCTAAAAAGATTAAATATATAGGACTCTTTGACAAAAAACAAAAACAAAAAAGCCTATTCAAAAACAATTATTTACCAATTTGGAAACATATTACAGAACTCGTTAATGAAAGAAATTACATTTGTCCTGGTTAGGAAAACTTGCAGCAAAAAGATTAATATTTTTACCAAGACAATTATTTTATTTCATATTATTCCATCTCATATTGATAAGGTATAGACAACCAGAACACAGAAGTATATGGTCTAATAAAAGGCCAAGGGTTAGATACAACAATCTGTAATCTACAAAAAGAAATGTGGTGGCCTCGCTAATCATACTATTATGCCAATTGTGTCATATGGGCTTCAAAATGGATTACATATATCTCCTTATGGTTTCATGCCTTTAATGGAAAAAAGAAGACCTTCCATAGATATATGCGGGTTGCAGATCTGCAGTCTGCAGATATATGTGGGTTGATATACACAGAAATAAACAATTTTGAGAGACTAGTATTGAAGAACTTTCTTACATTTGGTTAAATATAAGAAACAATAAACAATAAACCTAGATTTCTAGTTCCTTCTTGAATTTCTATTTTATGAACAACTAAAAAATAAAAAATTTGCTCAGTGAAGAGGCAATAGTCTATTTACATCACAACATGTTAAACATGTTATTATTAATAGGGTAAAAGTAAGATATTTACTCTTCCACATTCAGTTATTTTTCAATATTCTGAAATTAACAGCATTGCAACAAAAAAACTGGAAGTAAGGGAGATTAATTTAACTGAACTTGAAAATCTTTAACTGAACTCGAAAATCTTCTAATTGATATTGAACATTTAATAGTGAACATTTAGCAGTTTCTGTTAGGTACAATCTATTACATACTGTATATACAATTACTATATACAATTCAGTTGAACTGAAACAGGAAAAATCTATTATATAGAAATAGAAAGAAAATGTGAAAACAGTTATAGAGATAGAACAATTTCAGTGGGAAAATAACATCAATAACATCACCTCATATGTTATACTTAGAGAAAACTGGTACAAAATGTTTTATTGCTGGTGTATTATTCCAGTCATAACTGCTAAATGAGTAGCTTTTTCCCACACCCTCCCAAATACTGGAAATGGAAAAATAGGTTGGATCTTTCTCCCACATGGGGTAGTAATACTCAGTAATATTAGAAATTAATTTATTGAAGAATGGAACCAATTTTAAAAGTAGTAATTCCAATTTAACCAGGGAAATTTTGATAAAACTTCACTTTTAAGCCCAGAGTAAATCAGGTATATATTGGTATCAGATGAGACCACAAAAAAACAGTTCAGTCTAAGAAACCTCTCTGCCATCTTTGTACTATGCCATTGTACGTTGCCAGAGCTATCACATTGCCAGAACTAATGTTTCCAAACCAAACATACCCCTTTAGGTAGTAGTAAAAGAACTAAGAGATAGTAGATGGAGAGGTTGGGAAAGGAAAGAGAATATTTTATTTAACTCTCTCAATAGCAACTCCAACAGCTCCTCTCCCAAGAGACCTGAGCTTCAGAAACAGGCCTTAATTCTTAAAACTGAGCTTCACAAACCTTTTTTTTTTTAAAAAAATCCAACCTGTAGGGAAACTTCAAGGAAAAAATTTGAGTTAATTAATGAGCTAACTGTTGCTTTCATTCACCCTCTTCTGCTCCAAGAATAGAACTTATTGAGTGCTTTCCACCACAAGCACTCTCAAGTTAGACTGAGATGAGGAAATCATGAGTTCATGCTGCATTTCAGAGACATGGGATCAGGTCCCTTAGGCAATATTTTTTGATTCTTGGCAGAAAGAAAAGAAATCCCAGCTACTCACTTTTTTGAAATGTGTTGCTGATTGAACTTTCCTAACTGGTTGCATTAGAGCATCACGTACTATGATGCTAACATCAGCCCCTGAATAGCCATCAGTTCGCTTTCCAAGTTCCCGATAATCTGATTCAGACAAGGTATTTTTAGTAGTCCCAAGATGAAGCTTAAACATTGATGCTCTTGCATGATCTTCAGGTAAGGGAATATAAATCCGCTTCTCAAACCTTAGTAAAAAAAAAAATCACAAATATTAACTCTTATCCATGACCATAATACAGCATTTCAAATGCTGAACATGACGGTCACACTCCTTAGAGTATTTAATGTAAATTAAATAATTTACTAAAACAAGTTTTGCAAGACAGCAAATAAAGAACTAAATTTAAAAAGTCGCTTGGGGTATCACATTCCTGGATCGGCAACCAGAACTGGGAGTAAGAATTAAGGCAGAATATTTCCAGTATTATTTGCCAAGTTTGAGCTTCAGTCCTAGTTTCCTTTTAGACAGACACTGCTTCCTGTTATGTGAAAATAATGTTTTTAATAAAGAAATTTGCCTGTTAAGTGGAACAAAATGTTCTATCTCTGCATTGTAGTGGTGCAATGGTTAGAATGCAGTATTGCAAGCTCGTTCTGTTTATTGCCAGTAATTCAATTCTTGCCAGCTGAAGGTTGACTCGGCCTTCCATTCTTCTGAGATGGGTAAAATGAGGACCAAGACTGTTGGGGGCAATATGCTGACTCTGAGAACTGCTTAGAGAGTGCTGTAAAGCACTGTGAAGCGGCACATAAGTCTATTGCTATTTATTATAAGATGTAATGTTATACTACCCTGGTGTCCTTTTTTGATATTCATAAAATAACACCTCATTTATGCGGATGTCAAAAAAATCTCCTGTTTACATAAACAAAGGAAATGCTTTAACTATGATGTAAAATCAGTTTTCCAGTCAAAAATGCTCTGAAACCATGAGCCATTCTGGCTCAAACCGTAAGAGAGAAGTCAATTCTTTACCTCCTCCTTATGGCAGAATCTAGAACCCAAGGGATATTTGTAGCTCCAAGAACCAAAATTCCTTCATTGTCTGTTCCAACTCCTTAAAAAATAAATGAATTTAATCAGCGCCCATTTGTAGAATCTTTAGCATAAAGAAGTTACAAAATAAATATACCGTAAAACTTTCAGCTCCACATATTATATATTAAACACGCTCATGCACATAGTCATTAAACACCACTGTATTTTATTATATCCTTTACGTAATATACACTCATGCTTTAAAGTACTCTAATTAACTACTTTAATAATTTACCTTGCATCTGAACCAAAAACTCTGTTTTAATTCTCCGAGCTGCCTCACTTTCATTTTCACTTCGGGAACCACATAAAGAATCGATTTCATCAATGAAGATAATTGAAGGTTTATTTTCTCTGGCAAGTTGGAATAGATTTTTCACCAGCCTAGGAAGCAATTTAAATTGTATTAAAGAAAAGGGCAATGATAAAGCACAGGAAGACAACTACTTTTTATGTGTGTAAAATGTGAATCTAAAATGTCAAGCTACCACATGTAGGAAGGTATTTAAAGCTTTTGCAATTAAATTTTAGTTAAGGTAGTCATTCAGATAAAAATGACTTTCATTCAATTGCTTTATACATGTTTTCATAAATTAAATTGTAAAGTCACAAATTCTTGGAACAGCTTTTAATGATCAAACATCCTTTCTGAAAAGGAGTTAAACAATCTGTGATAAATAGTTGTTATAGGAATTGGATAGCCTTAAATATTTCTAAAATAAATGTTTGTGAAGGACACATGTTTTAGGGAGTAATTCACAAATTTATAAGACCATCTTTCCTTCTGACTCATTTTATCGTTATCTATTCTTTAATCATCCTAACATCTTTTTATTCCATCATCTTATTCCTTGATCACATAAAAATTGCATAAAATTTACATTTAATTCATTCCACCATTTTATCAAATATGGACAATGAATAGTTGAGAGGACATGGGGCCCGGTAATTAAAAGCAAAAATGCTTATTCTGATGAAGATATTATGGAACGGTTTATCTGAAAATAGTGCTCCGGGGAGCAGAAGATGGCATTTGTCCTCTTCCAGCAGACAGTAAAATTGTAACAATGCCTACATTTGGATCAACACGCAGCACACAGAGACTTAGACATTAACAGTGGTTTACAAGAAAGCTTTCTTCTTCTTAACACACAACTTCTGCACTGAATACTGGACACAAGGAAAAGGAACCATGTCCTCTAATGGTTGCCATTTATATACACACCTCTTAAAGGGATTTTTAATCTCCAGTCTTAAAAGGAAATACCTATACTATGCTGAATCACTCTTGTTACATCAGCCTATATTACATCAGATTCACAGCATCTGGCAGCTATTCACCGCTGGTCAGTTCTTAAATCTCAATACCTTAACAAATTGCTGGTCAGAGAATAGCACATTGTTTAGCTAATGTAGCTGTTCATTCAGCTGTGCATTCATTTTTTTCCCTTAACAAGATATCCTAGCTCCTAGCATTTTCCCATCAATGGGCATCACGAAACATGCAAAACCATCAAATTTTCTTTACACCCGTACAGAAGTATAAATTATTTTATAAACACCACTGTTTTACTTCTTCATCAGTAAGAAATTCAGGATTATAAGTCTGATTTTTTTTCTTGATTTTTTTTTTCCTGATGTACCTGTCACTGAATAATTATTTTTAAAAAAGAGTAACTATTGTAAAATGGGTCTTGCTGCTGTGAATGATACATGAGATACATGACAGAGCAATGGAGAACAACAGAATCAGTCCTCATAAGGATAAATTAACCAGAGATACAGGTAGTTTCTGTTTCATAGGATTCTGGCATAGATTGAATATAATAAATTGGAGTGGGGGGAAGAAGAAAAGCTTCATGCTAGAATATTGCAATTCTAGTCAGGTATCAGTGGCTGCTTGCCTACCTTGATCCACGGTGTAATTATTTCTATATTTATTTTGAACATTTTAGGTTAGGCAATAGTTGGCTATTTAAATTTATTTATGGGTCTAAGATTCCAAATGTTTAAATTGTTTGATCAGTTACTACTCACTTTTCACTTTCTCCCAACCATTTTGAGACAAGATCTGAAGATGATACAGAGAAGAATGTAGAATTGTTAGCTTCCGTTGCAACAGCTTTTGCCAAGTAGGATTTCCCAGTTCCTGGAGGTCCAAACAGAAGGATCCCTCTCCAGGGAGTTCGCTTCCCTAAAAATAAATGAGTGACATGATATGGATGTTTTAGAAAATCTAGTAAGTTGCCTGCTCATTGAGCACGTACAAAGCAGTCACACACTTCTCGAAAAATATTTTAACAATTTTTAAAAATCCCTTTTGCATTGCCTTTTTGCGCAGGCTTAATCTGAACAGCTTGGTCAGCTTAGTGGTATTGTTATTTAATTCCTGGTCAGAACTTAACTGTAGAGAAGGAAGTTGAGCTGCATTTATTAATTGGATAGAGCTGATGTCACTGGCTGAATTTTGTGCAACACTCAATACAGGCTGGATCATAGGTGTGATTGTGGGACAGTTACTGTAATTCATACAAACATGACCATCCTTAACAGGATTTCTTTCTGTCCAAAGCTAATACCAAGTAGAGACTCACAGGGACAAAGTAGAGAAGCTACTTGTATTCCACATATCAAGCCATGCTTGTCTTGGAAGTGGAATCACAGAATCCCAAAACTTGGGGGATTAACATCCATACTAGAATAACTCTGACCCTGGACCATTATGTTCTTCATTATCACAATGATGAAATTGTCCCAGTTGTCATTAGACCGTACTGACTAAAATACTGCAATTATCCCAATATATTTCAATAGTACCATATTGGGGATGGCTGGTCTAAAACAAGAAATACAGGTAGTCTTCAACTTACAACAACAGCCCAAAATTTCAATTGCTAAGTGGGACATTTGTTATGTGACTTTTGCCCCATTTTATGACCTTTCTTGCCACAGTTAAGTGAATCACTGTAGTTAAATTACTCACATGGTTGTTAAGTGAAATGGGCTTCCCCATTGACTTTGCTTGTCAGAAGGTTGCACAAGGGGATCACATGACCCAGGGAAACTGCAATTGTCATGTGAAATGTGAATAGCCAGGTGCCTGAATATTGATCATGTGACCATGGGGATGCTGCAATGGTAGTAAGTGTGCAAAATGGTCACTGGTCACTTTTTTCAGTGCCATTGTAACTTAGAAGGGTCCCTAAATGAATTGTAAGTAGAGGACTACCTGTACACAAATTTTGTGTTGACCAATCTTCTTATCTACAATGAAACCAGTTGTGTTTTTTATGGGCGTCTATTAAATAATAATAGCTTTTGTAGATAGAATTTCTTGGCAGAGTAAGATTTTACTTAAGTTGATGAAAAATATTACTTTTTATTCTTCCCTTCAAGGAACATGGCTAGTATATAATGCCTCTTCTCAGCCTATTTTATACCCAAATATAGTTAATTAAGCTAACTGGGAGATACTAATCTGGATGTTTCCCGTCTAAAGTCTCACTTCAGTGAGCTCTACATTACACTAGTTCTATGTATTTGATGGAAAACTCCAAAATTCAACAAGTTCTTCAGTAATAAAGATACAAATACCAGGCATTAGCTCAAGAATTAGCAGTCTATTCAAGCAGTCACATGAATAGCATAATGAACAAAACAAATATATTGTACAAAAAAAAATGTGAACAGAGATTTTTACCCCATTACGTAGCAACAAAATTCCACAGATACATGTAACATTAAGTAGTCCAAAAACAATAAGGTAACTCCATACATTTATATTCTTGCATTTAGCCATAACTATTATTCTTCCTTTGAGAACACATTTCTTAACTATATTGCCTCACTTTCACAGCATGTATAGCTGTGTGAAAAAGTCCTGCATGCTTTCATTGTCACTAAAGATCACAGGCAAAGGCTTATACAGTCTATGTCGAAGTGATGCCGCCTAAGGCCTGGCCGATTTCATATTAGTAACCATGTTACTAATATGAAATTGGTTCTTTTCGGGGCCACAAACAATAAAAATGTTAACAGAACACTAGCATCGACCTTAGTAATTGCAACACTGGGTATGCATCAGTTAATCTGTTTTCATAGTCATTGTAAACATGCATTTTAAGCATGCAAGAAAATTCACAATCCCCATCCAAACAGCACCAAATTGCAAAAAGCTTATGCTTTTCACTTAAAAACCACCAGTATTTATTTAAATATAACAATATTTGCATAGCAGTTAGCATAAAATATCATGAAATCAATGGCCTATCCAAAAATGTCATAAATCGTAAAGCATGCAGGACTTTTTCACACAGCTGCATCTTTCTTATGAAAGCTAAATGACCTTAGTTGTACTCTCTATCTCAAACATCTGAGGATTAGGCTAGGAAGACACTGATTGCATATTCACCTGTAAAAAGGTGAGGAAATTTAATGGGCAATATTACTGCTTCTTTAAGGGCTTCTTTTGCTCCTTCTAGTCCAGCAACATCACTCCATTTGACATTTGGTCGTTCCATGACAATGGCACCTGTAAAGCAAAAGACCATAGGTAACCACGTTTCATACGGTATATAATTCCTTAAAAAATTAAATCAAAATACCCCCTTTAAAGTAAAATCTGAAACAAAATTTTTGACAATCAATAGAGAGCAAACACAGCATATTTATGGTTTACTTCAGACAAAAACAAGTAAGCAAGTTATGGTCATTTCACTACTGGAAATACTATTGTAATCCAAACTAAGTGCAAAGTGCTACAATATTAATACGACAATTTCACTAAATGATTGCCAAATGTCCTATATGTTTTTCTTTAAATCTGAATTTTAACTAGCTATTTATTTCGTGCCCTTAGATTGCTGTGAAATTCATAAGACAGCCCATGCCGTTTTACATGATTCATATCAATTCTAATAAAGGAGAATAGGGTTGACATGATGCTTACTATTATATTCTATGGTAGAACATAAACTGATAGAAAACTGCACTTTTTACTAGCACTGATGATGTTACCTGGTTTGTGTAATGAAACATCTGCAAGAAAACAAGCACGCTCATAGAGCATAATGGACCCCTCATACCAATTCATCATAGGTACAGTGATGCTAAAAGTTTTGGGGATGCATTTGAATTTTTAATATTTCTGCATAAATAATAAACTAAAATGGGATCTGTTCTCCAAGCAAGTCCTAAAACTAGACAAACAACCGAATTAAATAAAGGGGTCAAAAACATTATGCTTGTTTATTAGTTGAGGAAAATGATCCAAAGTTAAATATCTGGGTGTAGCAAAAGTATAATCTAGGATTATAACTTTATTTGAAGGGGAAATTAGAATCAGGCATTTCAATCAACAGAATGATAATCAGGGATAAGTGAGGAAGGAGATTCTTATTTTAAAGAACAAAATGCTGGATGTTCTCTATCGAAGTCTGTTCTTCATAAGACAAGAAGGGTGCCATGGTTCAAACAAAGGATATTTTTGAGCCCTTCCAAAAAACAGTTGTTGATGCTCACTAGGCAGGAAAATGTTACTGAACTATTTCCAAACAGTTCGGATTCCACCAGACCACTGTCAGGCAGATCATGTACAAATGGAGGCAATTTAATGTCACCATCTAGTGGTCGACCAACTAATATCACACCAAGAATAAGGCATGTAATACTTAAGGAACTTAAAGCTTGCTTTTGAGAATGTCAATGAACACTCAGCAACAATGGTGTATATGGTAGGTTTGCAAGGAGAAAGCTGCTAGTCTCCAAAAAGAACAGTGTAGCCTATTTACAGTTTGTGAAATATCATGTGAATAATCCAGAAAGCTATTGGGACAATGTTCCAAAATATAACTTTTTAGCTTCAATGCAAAGCATTATGTTTGATAAAAGGCAAATGTTGCATTCCAGCATAAGAACCTTCTTCCATCTATCAAACATGGTGCTGGCAGTATCACGATATGGACCTTCAGACCAAGACATTTGCTATCACTGATGGAACTGTGTATTCTGAATTCTATCAGCAAATTCCACAGGAAAATGTCAGGATATCTATCTGTGAACTGAAGCTCCAGAGAAAGTGGTCATGTTGTAAATGTAAGACAACAATCCAAAACACACAAGTCCTATGACCAAAAAAGTGGTTAAAACAGGAAAAAAAAGTTAATGTTTTGAAAGTCCTGATCTTAATTCTATAGAAATCTTACAAAGTGGCCAATTCATGCAAGGAACATCCTTGAATTGAAACTGTTCTGTAAAGGAGAATGAGCCAAAACTCCTCCGAGCCAATATGCATTTACAGTAAGATTGATCAACCATTATCAGAAAATTTTAGTTCAAGTTATTACTAATCAAGGGAGGGTCACCAGTTATTGAAAGCAAAAGTTCAAATACTTTTGTCACACGATTTATAGCTCTGAATCTTTTTCCTCAGTAAATGAACAAATAATAGAGTCGTCCTCATAAAACATCATAAGAGATAGCAGAGAATGATGCCAGTAAAGACGACAGCTATTCCTTACATTCCTTAAACTTTTCATAATGAAGATTTTCCTCAACCTTCCCACAAAAACGAAGTCAATTAGTCAATCTGATAAACTGTACAGCAGCAAACCATCATCTTGCTCACTATAAAAACTGAAAGGCTGGGATCAATAAAAAATCAAAATTGTTTGAAACAGGAATAACTATTTACAAATAGTCAAAAAGCAAAAGAGCGTATGTATTAGGTTTGCAAGTATCCTATGTGCCTTTTTTACTTATGAAATCCACTATATTATAAGGATGATAGGAAAGTGTGCGTAATGTTTAATATCTTGCAACTCTTCATCTGACAACTTAATAGAAACATTTTTGTTCAAAATATTAAGAGCTTCATGGAAGGCTACCTTGAAGTTGATTCTGTAGCTTCTTTTTTTCAGGATCATCTGATTCTCCTTCCCCATCACTATCATTCCTAATTTGGGTGTAAGTAAAGCACACAGCTAAAACAGAGATAGAGTATTTTGCTCAAGACTGATTCATTTCTAACACAAATAGTCTTCCCTCAGAGAACATACCAAAAAATACCAGAAGTTCAGGTTCTTATACATCTTAAAGTATATTATTACCAAAAAAATAACAAAAAAGCAGATTCTTACTCTGACCTGGTCCCTTACTCTTCTAACTCCCACCTCCCAAATTATACAAGATTTCTCAATATGCTGAGGAAGGTATGCATTTATTCTTAACCTGATTTCTAGTAAGTGTGAGAGTTAAAGTTTGGAAAGCTACTGCTGGGAAAAAAACAAATAAGTTCAGTCATTACAAAGCTCTCTCCAAACAGCATGGAAGTTGTTTTTCTGCCTGCAACAGGAAAAAGCACTGAGGCCCAAAATTCATTTGAGTACAATAGATGCATCCGATTTTAAATCAGGTTTGGAACACATCCAACAAAATCAACAGCCAATTCTGAATCCAATACGATATTCTACTGCTCACTATTTCATGATTAGAAACAGTAAGCCTATCACAAATTTAAAAAAAAATGCAGAGAAAGACAGGCAGATACCAAAAACCTCTCTACCCACCTCCCTCAAAGATAGCCGAAACAGATACAATGGATATCAGATAGGAACTATTTACAAAGTACCCCTGACAAAAGTTTATATCTAAATAAAGTCTGGCCTAATTAACAAAAATCAAAACAGTTTTTCACTGATATTTGACTCCATTCCTTTCCCCTTTTTGCTTCTTGATCCATTCAGATATACACATGCATGCATAAAAAACAGTCTTCTTCTTCTTCTTTTTCTTCAGCGTTTGTCTCGCGCTCGGGCGAGGTCCGCTAATGCGCATGCATAAAAAAAAAAAAAAAATTCTGACTCCGGTTAACTTACATATCATTGTTTTCCTTTACATGGTCATTGTGCTTGTTTCTAAAATATTTGGTTCTAAGAATTATGTGCATTATGGTGTCTTTTAATTTGTTCTTCCCAGAGAGGTTAGGAAATAATGAACATAGTACCGAATACTGTTTTTTATGCATGCATTAAAAAAAAAAAAACAATATTCGGTACTATGTTCATTATTTCCTAACCTCTCTGGGAAGAACAAATTAAAAGACACCATAATGCACATAATTCTTAGAACCAAATATTTTAGAAACAAGCATAATGACCATGTAAAGGAAAACAATGATATGTAAGTTAACCGGAGTCAGAAAAAAATGGTATAAAAATACAGAATATACTGTAACATTTCCATAATTTGCTAAAACCTAATAATATTTTTGGAGTACTTTTCTGCATGACACAGAGAGAAACAAATTTTAAAATCTTGGAATAAAGGAAGACAGCATACCCTTTTTCATCAGCTGGACCAGATTCTTTCACTGGTTTAAGAGGAGTTTTCTCCTTCTTTTTCAAATAGTCCTTCAGCTTTTCTGCTCTGTCCAAATATTCAGTACATTTTGCTCTGATGCTTTGTTTTGCTTTGTCACCCTGTGCCTCATCTGATAATAAGAAAAAGTCTACTTTTACTTCTTAAAGAAATAGCTACTCAAACACGCCCCCCCCCCCCAATCTTTCTCATTAAACCACTATAAATTGTTATCAGTGAACAAAGATTCTGGAATAGCTTAACAATTATTTGGTTTTTAAAGAATGTTGGTTATTTTATTGAACTTAAAGCCAAAACAGATTGGGATATTTTTAACATTGGGACCTATAAGCAAACAAATATGTACAGCTTCTATACTTCAACAAACCTTTCCTCAGGGAAAAAAAACAATGCCATAGAAAAAAAATAAAAAATGAATTAACTAAATAGTAACTAAATTATTAGTTATTTCTAACAAGCAGGAAAGGTAAAATAACTTTCTAAATGTCTAAAACTTTCCATTGAAATATTAGATGGTCTTCTGATAGTCCAGAAAATGTAGCAAGGCACAAAACACAGATGAGTAAGACGAGTTGACCTCTTTTAGCAATACTTCAATGTTAAGTTTATGTATCTTCTTCCTCATTTTTAGTACTTCCCTCTCCTGCTACTTTTTCTCAAGTTAATTAATTTCCTATCTTCACTGCTTTTTCTTACTCTTTATAATTAATCTTACAATTCCTTTGGGAGGCATTCTTCACCCAACACAGAATATATTCATTTTTTACCTTTTGCTCTCACTGGTAGCCAACTTACATTTCTTCAACTGTCTCTTTCACAACAAATTCTTAAGTTCTTCCTTAAAATGCTAATGAACTTATTTCAACTGAAAGTTGTGACAATTCACGTATTAATATTTTAATTTATTACTAAGTTAGTATTTCTACCTTTAAAGGGAATCCTTTAACGGACAGTAGGATAGGATCCTAATCAGAACAATTAATCACATCCTTGAGACCATTAAAAACTGTAAAGTTCACCTGTAGTTTTAGAAAATACTCCAACAATTCTAAAAGCCATTAGGGAATGCTTTTAATTCTGCTTCTAACACAGGGAAGAACATGAAGTTTATTTCTAGCTATGTATGTTTAGTATAATTCTTACATTTAACAACATGAAGAAAATACTGCACAGCATGTTGATACAGATGTAGGGCTTCCTCAAAGTTCCCTGCTTTATCTTCTTGTGCTGCTTTGCTAGCAAGGTCTATTGCTTTCTAGAAAAAATAAATTAAAAAAATTAGGTCAATTGTTCTTTAAGTAAAATAGGTTTTCAACATGTGAACCCAAGAATATAGTAAGATTACATTACAACTCCATTTTGTAACAGCCTTAAACTATTATACTGTTATTAGTACTTTGCCCAGATCTCTTGAATGCAAATCTTGAAGTGTGCATGTCCTGTTTATGTTGCATTATTTTCTATGAATCCCAGAAAAACATTTCTGCTAGGACCAAAAAAGTTTCATCAAAAGTTTTCTTTCTCTTCTAACCTGAGGATTTATTACCTCATACAGTATGAGTTTGTTTTTGTAATTGTTTGCATTTATTTACATTCCTACCGATACTGAATCCTGAAGCACCTACATTGCAATTGAAAGCAATGAAATTGTTCTGTAAGAGATTACTAAGGGAAATAAATTGTCCCAAATATAGCATGTTGTATTATGGATATAGCGATGATTAAAAATTATGACCAAGAACATTTCACTGATCTGAATGTGGCCTGTATACTATAGAGATGTTTCATTCTTTATATGAAATGTGTATCAAAAATCCTTGCAAATATTTTTTAAAAGTAGCTACTTAAGTTTCCAACATTCTTATAAAACCAGGAAACATTTTCTTTATAATGCCACACAAAAATTTCATTAGCATATAATTATTATATACATATTTATTGGAAAAATAGTTACATTAAAATTGTGATAAGGTAATAATCACTTTGCAAGAAATACATGCATATTTACCTGTGTTTTCAAGTAAGACTTTACATTTATACATTATAATAAAAGTCATATTAAGAACATAATGAAAGAGTAACTAATTCATCATGCTACTAATAAACATTGTTTTCGTTTGAGCTGTATATTAAACACCTCTAATCAACCAATAACTTGGTTTAATAATACAATTAAAGATGACCACTATACTTCCTGTGTGGCTCTGCTATGAAAGTATTTGTGGAAGATAACTGAGAATCAAGGTGCGTGGCTATGATAATGCTATGGAACCAGAGGCGTAATCAAGTTAAGTTAGAATAGTTTCCTTCAACCGATTACGAAGAGGAATAAATAAGAATACTCCTTACATCTCCACCCGCATACAGGTAGTCCTCGGCTTATGTGAATCTGGTTTCCCCTTTGACTTAGCCAGTCAGACGGTTGCAAAAGGGAATCACATGACTCTCAGATACTGTCACCATCATACATTGGAAACAGTTGTCAAGCAACTGAACGTAAATCCCATGACCATGGGGGATGCTGCTATGGTCCTAAGGCTGAAAGATAGTCCTAAGACTTTTTTTTTTTTAGTGGCTTTGTAATGCCCAACGATCACTAGGTGAACAGTTGCAAGCCGAGAACTCTGCAGAAAAAAAGCAATTACTACCCACCTGCCTTCAATTGAGGACCTGTATACTGCACGAGTCAAAAAGGCTGTGAAAATATTTACAGACCCCTCACATCCCAGACATAAACTGTTTCAACTCCTTCCCTCAAAACGATGCTACAGAGCATCGCACACCAGAACTAGACACAAGAACAGTTTTTTCCCGAAAGCCATCACTCTGCTAAACAAATAATTCCCTCAACACTGTCCAACTATTTACAAAGTGTACACTACTATTACTGTTAATCTTCTCACCACTCCTTCTCACCCATTCCCTCCTACTTGACTGTTTCCTAGTGATTTGATTGTTGTACCCTATGACTATCATTAAGTATTATACGTTATGATTCTTGATTCTTAATGAATGTACCTTTTCTGTATGTATACTGAGAGTATTTACACCAAGACAAATTCCTTGTGTGTCCAATCACACTTGGCCAATAAAGAATTCTATTCTATTCTATTCTATTCTATTCTATTCTATTCTATTCTATTCTATTCTATTCT